ATCAATTGCAGCTCTCTTCAATTCTTAAAACACACACACAAACACACAAATAACAGCTTCATATGCATTTTGTTATTCAACTTGTGATTTATTTTTAACAGCATCTTTCAGATACATCCAAATCAGTGTAACATATTTTCCTTTCCATTTTTAAAGCTTCATAGTATTCCATCATGCATTTGTTCCATAGTTTAATCAATATCTTAGTGATAATTAGATTTTTTCAAAGCAAGTACTTGTCACCATAAATGAAAAAAATAGATGCACATAGTGAATATTTATAAGTGTAAAGTAAATTATATTATTTAGATATTGCTACATCATTCTTCTTGGAACAGGAGCTACCCAGGACTACCAGAGGATGGTAAAAGCACAAGAGGTCAATCTGCTAACATCAAGGCTGATAATATTCCTTTGGTCAAGCCAAGTCTCATGGCCAACCCATGGAGTGGGAGGTATTCAAGGTCATAAAGTAAAGGATATAAATATACAAGTCTATAATAGGTATGAAGAGTTAGGGAAAATAATCCAGTGTACCACAATATATATAAATTTGTTTCTCAATCCGCATTGCCAGTCACCCCCACCCAACAAAACCCCACCATTGCCAGATCCTGAGTTTACCTGGAAATATCTTTGAAATCATGACTATATGTTTATCTGGAATTTGAATAGACCTTGTCACTTTGCTCTACATCTTGCTTCCACTATTTTCACTCTTGCTAAATATGAATGAGAGAAGCTATTCTTCACATGATTGCCAACACTGTGTACTATCAAACATTTATTCTTTGCCTTAATAGCTTAGGTTGCAGTTATTTCTCAATTAATATGAGCCTATTTTTGATGTGTAGCATTTATTCATGCCTTTGCCTATTTTCTACTGGGTTGGTTTTTGTCGATTGATTTGTAAGAGTCCTTTATATATTCATAAAATACAAGTTTTCCTCATAGTGTGTGTGTGTGCGCGTGTGCGTGTGTATGCACGCGCGCGCGCGCACACACACACACACGTGTGGTGCTGGGTGTTGAACCAGGGCCTTGTGCATGTGAGGCAAGCATGCTACCAACTGAGCTATATACCCAGCCCCATGTAGTTTTATTTTTTACTTGCTTATGGTTTTTTCCTTTGCAGAAATGTTTAGTTTGCATATAGCAAACTTTATCCTTTTCTTTGTGGTTTATGGGTTTTAAGTTTTGCTTATAAGTTCACCACTTAAGGAGATGAATACTTGAGCTTCTGATTTAGCAGATCTGGAAAAATTATTCCAATTGTTAACAGTTTAAAGACTTTTGACCTTACTAAACTTTTATCAGCTTTTCTCACTATGAGTTAATGAGCATATATTGAGTGCCCAAGATTTGGTTAACCCTATAAAGTCCTGTTCTTAATTTTATTAGGACTCTACCATAGTTGGACATGTGAATTGTTCTATTTGTTCATCAGTAATGATTGAGTTGTATTAACCTATGCCTCTCTCTTATTTCTCGTACGTAACTAAGGACATCTGTGCAAAATGGCCATCTGTAGAAAGGGCACTAACCATAATTTGATGGTAGTCCTTGTTGACATAATTGCAGCCATCTTCCTTTCTTCCACCTCCACTTTATGAATACTGTTCTTATTCCCAAGATATGGAAAGTAGCCCGAGATAAAACCTACCGGCCTGGAGACATGCTGGTCTCTCCCTATTCTCTCATTGAGAGATGGGAGACAACCTACTGGCGCCTGAGATGGGCACATACTGGTTTCCCTGTTCTCTCTTTGAGAAGATTAAGGGACATACCGGTTTCCCTGTTCCCCCTCTAGAGATAGGAAAACTGAATATCTCTGTTCCCAAGAACAAACTTGCCTTCCAGAAGATCAAGGGATGCTTACTATGTCAGTCAAGACTAAACACACCCTAGTGCCCCACCATGATTCTAGCCTATAAAAGGAAACATTCAAGGGGGAGTTGCTGCTGCTCTCCTTGCTTGCTGCTGCTGTCCCTCTCTCTGTGCAGAGCAGCCTTGTCAGGCTCCTGACAATAAACCCACTTCTTAGCCCAGGTGAGTGTGTGATTAGTCCTGCACCACTTTTTTTTTTTCATTCCTTGGTTATGGAATGGATTGGGCCTAATTATCCTCAACAGATATACCATGGCCTTGTTCTTGGTCTTTATCCTTGGACAAAATTTTATTATTAGCTCTTTGTTTTAAATTCACTGCCCCTTTTTCCTTTCCTGGGTTAGCAAGAATTAAAAGGTATTCTTGAAAATGCTTTTCAAATGTTGATGTGTATACAAAATTACCTGGAGATCTTTTTAAAGTGCAGATCATCATTCATTAGGCTTGGGTGTCAGGCCTGAGATTCTGCATTTCTGACAAGCTCACAAGTACCCCAAATGCTGCTGGTCCATCAATAACACTTTGAGGAAGAAAGTACTAAACTATCAAGGTTTATCAATTTTTTTTTCTAAGTGGTCAATGGTTCCTTCTCCATTTTGGAGATTATATTCCTTTTTGCGATTGCTTGTTTCCATATAGTTAATTCTGTTGAGATCTCATATTTCACCATAAACCAGACAAGTAGGATTAGACAAACAAACATCTATCTTAGGAATCAAGAGCCCTTTTCCATCCAGAGAAAATCTACTAATATGCTTGCTATTTTTCTTTAAATTCCCAATTTTGAAAAATCTTCTTAAAGTCTGATGAAGGATGAATTTATCTAGGAAAATAAGGTTAGTCAGACTAGATAGGCATTAATCATATTGGAACATAAACTATTGACAGCAGAGAGATTACTGAAAGGATGGTAGATACACAGGAGGGTCAATTTTGGTGGGGTGGGAGGATAGAACATAACATATAATGAATTGGGTGTTAGATTCCAGTTGGGCCAAATTGAATACAGAAAGATGATGGAAGGAGGAATCCATGGAACAGGACCAGTTTTTTTTTTTAATTGTAGTTGTAGATGGACAGAATACCTTTATTTATTTTAAAAAAATATTTATTAGTTGTCAGTGGACCTTTATTTTATTTATTAATATGCAATGCTGAGAATCAAACCCAGTGCCTCACTCATGCTAGGCAAGCGCTCTGCCACTGAGCTCCAGCCCTAGCCCCAAGACCAGGTTTTTAAGTTTTTTTCCTGTTTTCTTTTAAATGCATGTATTGTCCACTTGACAATTTGCATAGGCAATATTACTGTGTAATATCCTGATTTAGCTCCCCTCACCCTGACTGCTGGCTCCTGAACACCCTAATGTGAGGGGTCTTGTGGATTGGCCAAATGGTCTCACTTATGATAGCCCAGCTGCTCAGCTAAGGCCCAGGATCTAAGGGCTAGCACTATGCTAAAAGCCAGACTGTATGCACCAATGACCTGACCAGAAATATGAGGCTTGAGGTGATTGTGTTCCTCCATTGAGGATTTCACCCCACGTTGTGGTAGCCAGCTAGTTGGAAGCACACCTCACAGCCTTAAGCACCAGTAACAGTAATATAGGCCCCCTAGGTTGGAAGGAAGTGGTGATGAAGGTTGCATGGGGCAAGCACCCAGGCAGAGGGAAGTTTGCATGTTCTATATAGCCAGGAGAAAGGGAGAATTGGTTGGCTATCTCCCATCAGAAGAATGTGCTTTTATCTGAAAATGAGCTGTTATGAAACAGAAACTGTGGGACATTTTCTGTTTCAAAAATACAGCCCACTTTCCCCTGCGCATGAAAACAACTAAACGGGGGAGGGCAACTTGGTATTGCTGCTTGCTGCCTGTCTATAGGACTTTTACTTTCACATCTGACTTCTCTAGATTTCCGGATTTAACCCCAATTGCATGGAAATTGGGTTTTTGCCAGAGTTGATTGGAAGCCTGGTCCATAAGGGGAAAAGAATCAATAAATTGGCAAGAGAGGTGCAAGAGGAAGAGTAACTCTAATTATGCACAGGCTCCAGTATTAAAAGTTGAGTGTATCTGTGAACGGAGGTCTAGCGTTCAAAGAAGCCAGGACTGGACAGGCGCGGGTCTGTCCTGCTTGCCACGTACCAAGCACCAAGCGCTGACTTCCTCCTGGTCCCTGTCTCCTTCTCTCTCGCTTGCTGGCTCGCTTTCTGTGGATAATGCAGAGCGATGGAGCAGCCTGGGGAGAACAGCTGGAGAAAGCTTAGATAAAGACAAATTAATAGAAGCCTAGTGTAGCAGCAAATGCTGGCACACAGGGCTCAGCTGACCCGTTAAATGAGCAATCCTATTAAGTGTGTTAATCAGCGCGGCGCCCGAGAGCCCAGGGAAATGCTCCAGGAGATACCTGGGGCGGAAACAGGACTCTTCATTGTTGCGATCTAGATTCTGCAGATTCCGGAGTCTTTGTCTCTCTCCCGGCCCAGTACCGCTTAAAGAGAGTTTGGGGCTGTGTGACATCCGAAAGCAGGTGGTCAGGAACATGGCTGGTGAGACTCAAGCACTGGGAAGAGTGATCTTGGCCTTGAATCTACCTGTGAGCCCACTTCCAGCTCCTTACCTGTCTACCCTTATGACTGGTGGGACCCCAGAACCCTGAGACTCATGGATCTTTTACGTGGGGAGGAGTTCTTTCCAACACTGGTAACCTCACTTCATAAATAAAAAAATAGGTGGCCAACACCTTTAAAACAGTAAGTTCTGGGCTGTGGGAAACTAAGCAGGGAAATACCTAACTAAACTGGGTACCTGCTCGGTGACTGGAACTGAGGACCAGGAAAGCCAAAAAACTTTGCTTTGGTGACTTTCCACACCTGCACTCATTTGAATGCTTGCACCAACCATGCATGCCGGTCTACACTGGTACGGACGCTAGACGGCGCTGCCGGGACACGCTTCCCTTCTCCCATGAAAGGTAAGAGAAGCATGTTTTTAAACCAGGGGATGGGGGATCCGGGGTTGGCAGCTTTTCCCACTCTCCTCACTCTGCCTCCCCTCCTAGCGCTCCCCAATCCAAAGGGGTGTGGAAGTGGAGGAGGAGGAGGAGGAGCAGTAGCGGCAGCAACAGAAGCAGCCCTTTTCCATGACGCGCCAGAGCGGTTCTAATTCCCACCTCCTCCGGGTTGCAACCAGTCAGCCAGGAGGCATCAAACTGTTAGCGACGAAGACGCAGAGCTTGGTGACTTTCACTACCCTCCCACCCACTACTCCAGGCATATTTCGGAGGCGGCAGCAGAGGTGGCAGGATGTGAGACCAGCCTGGAGTTCACTTCCCTGGGCGCCGCTCCCTCTTCAGAGCCAGGGCGTGTGGGCTTTTGCGCACTGGCTGAAGGGTTCCCCTGAAAAACTGGAGCAGCATAGGAGCGAGAGGGACCGGCAGAGTTCACACCTGCCGCCTGCGTTACAGTCAGGGTGAGTTGGTGGGTTTGCTCCCTTCTGGAGCGTGCCTGCTTCCCGAGGGGCACAAAGGCCACAGGCTGAGGCGCCCGCGTCCTGGCGTGCACCGCCTGGCCTAGGCAAGGTGCGGCTGAAAGAAGGCTGCTCCCCAGCAAAGTCGCTCTGAAGGAGGAGGCTGGGAGGCAGGCGTCTTAAGAGTCTAGTCACTTAGCCAGGAGGCTGCACCTGTCATCCTAACTAAAGGGCTGAATGATTTAGGAACCCTCCTTAACCTCTCCCTCTCCAGCTCCTCAAAAAGTCCACAAAGCTCCGCTGAACTCTTGAAGTCATCCCGGAGCAGAGAGAAGTTTCCTGGCGTCCTGTTTTGCTAGGACTGGGAGTGAAGAAAACGGACGGGGCTGTTCTGTCCGCTACTTGGGGAGACGTAGTCTTCCTCACACCTCTTCCAGCAGCTCTTGTCTTTGGGCAGCCTCTCTGACTGCCCGGGAAGTCTGAGCCCGCCTATTCAGAAGCCAGCTCGCCATCTCCTTCTGGAAATGGAACTACCCGCTTGAGACCTGCTGTACATTGCTGGTTGATTTGCAAGACTCAGGTAACCCTGGCTCACAGAACCAGAGAGTTGGCTCCCAAGGTGGGGCGGGGGGAGTGCGCTTTAAGCTCTCAGGTGGCAGCAGGGAACAGACAGGCCGCGGCCAAGGGAGGCTCTAGTCCTCCTGCACTGGAAACTTGCCATTTTTCTTTCTTTATCTTCAGTCCTCTCAGAAAGTTTAGAGACCAGAGCTTCCAAGACCAGTGACTCTTCACCTAGTAGGAACAGCTGTTCAGGTAATTGCCGGTGTGTTCCATTTCCGAGGCGGTATCTTTGTGGTCTCTGTGGCTGGCGCACTGGCTTTGTAGCCTCTGAGGGAATTTCCTACTGGGCGCTTCTGATTTCCCCACATTTCTGCCAGGGGACAGGAGAGCAACCCTCTTGGGGATGGGGTTTAAAGGCAGTTCCTGGGTAGAGCAGCAAGGGGTTCCCCAGCATGCGCTCCCGCTCCTGGGGATTCCCACCAAGCACAAGACTGGTAAGTGCTGCAACCTGAAGCCATCTCTGTCTTTCTGTCCAGAGATCCCAAAGGGATGGCCCCGCGGACCCTTGAAACAACCCTCTTCTTATCTCAAAAAAATCCTGCCACCCTTTGAGCGGGTTTGCTAGGTTGAGTGAATCTTTCCTCACCATCGCTCAGGGGTGAGGACCGACCCAGGATGAGTTAGTTGTGCGTCAGAATTCTTGTGAAGGAAGCCCGGAAAGGTATCATAGGGACAGTCACCCGCGAGTGACTGTCCTTGCTTGGGCTCTGGGAATGGAGCAACCAGGAGATCTGTCACTATTCACATTTAAGAAAAAGGCTTTGGCAATGACATCCGGAAAAAAAGTGTATGCTATAACAATTCTTTGTTCTAGGGTTTTACCTAGTTACTGTAGACACCCCCGCCCCATCTCTGCGACCCCGGTTCTTAGGGAGAAACATTAGTAAATATGTATTTAAGGATTCTCATACCCCAGCAAAAGTTGCTGCTAGATTGAAGTACTGGAAAAGTACTTCTCTGCTGAAAGCTACTTTGGAGCCAATCATGGGTTTTTTTTTTTTTTTCTTTGTTGTTTGGAATTAATGGGGAAGCTGCACCTGTCCATCATCCATATATTAAATCTCAGTTTGTGTAGACTTCCAGGAAGAAATGCTTTTTTCCGGCCTCGGGAACCAGGTTGTAGATTATTAAACGGGCAGTGCAGCCGGACAAACTCAAAGGAAATGAGGGAGATAGGAAATGACATTTTCTTCAGGGCTTGCAAGTTAGTTGGGCACATCATACAGCTCAGGAAGACTTCCTCAGTTACTTCCTTTCCCTAGGAAGGAAGGAGTTAAGTGTCCAGAACAGGTGTTGGGGATTGGGGACCATTTAACTACTGACATTAAAATCCTCCAACCCATCGCAGTAGTACCGGCGGCTGTTCCCGCTGTTCCGTAGGATTTGAGGGCAGTAGTGTCCACACAATGCTGCGCCACTGGGCTCTTCGCCTACAGGCTCTCGGATACTTCTGCTTCCGCCTTGGGGCTCAGAACACTTTCTTAGTGATCCCTGCTTCCCCACATAAGAATTGGGCAATTTACACAAGGACCTAGGGAAAGTGGAATACTCGGGAATCTCTGAGCCTAGGCATCAATGGAAACTCCTACCTTCGCCCTTTCCATCCTTTTCTACTTCTCTCCTCCGCTGAGTAACCTCTGCTATAGGGCCACTACTGTCGCACGGCGCAGCGGCTGGACCCAATGCAGGATGCAGTGGCTTCAGCTCTGTGCCATTTGCTCAGTTTCGTTCTAACTCTCCCATTTGCCGGCGGCTCCCGGCTAAACAGGCCGGCAATTACCCGCGGTGGAATCAGATGATTTAAATAGAAAGCATTTAAACGTGGGTAAAAGGCTGCAGCATCAAAGGCTTCTGCCTCACCAACTCAGAAGGAGGGGCAAGTGGCAACCGGAGCTGCCTTGGTGACAGCCAGCCAAGGTTCCTTCTGCCCTTAGGCTCAGACCAAGCTGTCAGAGCAGTAGGGTTGAAATTTAAACCGAGCTTTGTAGTGTAGTTGTACTTTCTGATTTCTGTGTTGTCTTAACTCAGGTTGAACAACGGGCTGTTTTCAGTTTCTGCAGAGCTCATACCATTTAGAACCATTTTGTTCAGAGGCAAAAAGTGCTGATCAGGTGTTGGGGGGTTATTAAGGTGCCCCTGAACCTGGCTTTTACAGGTAAAATCAAGTCTGAGTCTTGTTTTACCCATTACTTTGCTGAGACAATTTCTTAAATGAATAGAACCTTCTAGTTTGCCAATAATCAGCAATAGATTTCATTCACACATATGCTTCTTACTAGGGGGGACTGATGGTGTGACTACATGGGAATAGCCCAATTTACCCACCTGGAACATTGTCTTCATAGATGCAAACTCACTGATGTTTTACTCTATGAAAACATACTTAAAGAACCTGACCATATAAAAAAGATGAAATTTAAAGTAACAATTCCAGTTTCATTTAAATCAATCAACTTCACATTATTAAAATATGTTGGCTTGTGTAATTCAGTGAAGTGGTTCAGTCAATGAAAAATATTTACTATTTGGAAAGGGAGAATTGGGAAAGTGAAATGAGTCACAGTATGGTTGAAGTGATCTTATACTTTGGTAAAAACAAAATTGTGTGTTCACATCTGTTCTTAAAGGAAGTCATCACTGTGTTCAGGGTGATAGCCTGAGTAGCTTCTGTGATAGATTATACTTTAGAGGGGGAAATACATTTTCTCCCTTATATTTGGATATTTGTGTAACTGTGATAGTAATGATCACAACAGGGACCATTAGCAGAAGAATGCACACACTGCCTTCTTCATTTGAGAAATAGCCATAAGCTGTTTGGTGAAAACGCACTATAATCAAATGGAAAAAAAAAATCCCAATTTTGAGCTCTTCAGAAATGAGACATAAAATAAAACTCGCCACATAACTTCAAAGTATGGGCTAATAGGCCTTTTCAGGGTAGATATCTAACTGTAGTAAGCCGCTTACACCCTTTGATCCTTGAGCCTAGGTTAGGAAGCCATGACCAGAGCCAACTTGATTGAGAAAGATAAATGTTGAATGTACAATATGTGCTTTATTTTTTCTGAGATAGGAATTGAAAGTAAGACTATTATTGTGTTGAGACTGAGCTGTCAGTGCCAAGGAATTTGCCAAATTAAAGTATACCTGTCAAAGGTAAGGCTTGATGCAATGTTGTGCTGCATGATTCCTCTGGCCAGTTACCAATACTGGGTTGGACTAGTTTGCTTTGAACTGGCTCAGATCAGAGATACTCCAGGGAGTTCATTGTAAGCCAGTTTCTTCTGGGCTTCCTCTTCCACATACATGGCTCCAGATCTTTGGTTAAATGGTTTAAAAATGGTATTCCCTATGCTAAGGTGCCTGACTTTGGCCTTCTTGCTTGACTTTTTTTCCCCTTGAAGCTCACATCTTCATATTGCTTTATCTTGGCTTCTCTCCTGAGCTCCAAGATGCTTTTTACCTGATTTGCTTTACTCCTCTATCTGGGTGTCCTATTCACATGTACGATATAGTCATCCCTTGGTATCTGCATGGGATTTGTTCCAAAGTCCCTCAGATATCAAAGTCTGTTGATGCTCAAGTTCCTTTTATAGAACTGTGTAGTATTTGTATATAACAGACACACATCTTCCCATATTCTGTAAAATGATCTCTAGTTGTCATACTTAATGCAATGTAAAGGCTACATAAGTAGTTATTATATTGTATTATTTAGGGAATAATGGCAAAAGTCTGTACATGTTTAATACATATATAATTTTTTTCTGAATATTTTCAATCTTTGGTTGAGTCTGCAGATGTAGAACATATTGATATGGAGGGTCACCTAAATTCAAGCACTAATTTGACATTTTCTCAAGCAAACTTTTATTTTTGTCTTCTTCTTTTAATGATCCTCTCTGTTCTTACAACTTCTGATCTCATTAATCTGTGATTCCTCCTACTTGCCTCAACCATTTTTGCCTCATGAATACTGTTTTTTTTTTAAAATAAAATGGCCTATATTCTGTCCATGAATTTCTTTTTTTTTCATTCTTACGTCAGCATTCAAAGTCAGGTTCTCTGGATTCTTGGCCTGGTCTCTATAAAACCTTCCTGTTATCTGTTTGATATGCCAATATATCTTGCATATTTTGACTAATCTTCCAAAAATCCTAATTTGGTTCTTAAAAATATTGGATACCTAAATGTTGGATACCTAGGTCGTGCAGATTCCTACTGTATTTGAATAATTTATAACTATTAAAATTGCCTAATACATTAAATATGTTGCCTAAGAACTCTGGACCATTGCAGATATGTACTAGCATGAGCAAGGATTTGGTGGGTGCCCAAATATCAGATGTGGGAGATCAGACTACATGACATTTCTTACTACTAACCCAGAAAATCTATATCATTCTTTTAACATATAGGAAACCAAATAGTATGTTGTTTCCCATCAGTTTGCCCTCAGAGATTCCACATTTTAAAATTATTATGACTATGTTTTAGAGTCTTCTCTTATAGTCAATTATTATACTCAGATAGGTATTTCTGTTCTGATTTACTTGGGTGTGTATCCATATACATTACTTAAGTATGAAAATTTTAAATTATTTTTATACATTGAAATACCTTTATTTTGTTCATTTATTTATATGCAGTGCTGAGAATTGAACCCAGTCACTCACACATTCTAAGCAAGCACCCTACCACTGAGCCATAACCCCAGCTCTGGTTATGAAATTTTCAACAATGTGTTAAGCTTGCTTTACACTTTGTTAAATGCATATCCCTTTTCCTTATCTTGCTTAATGTTTACAATAATATTGTGAGATGGGTAATATTGCCAAGTTGTAAAACTTTATTTTATAGAGACCATAGTCTATTATTCCTCTGGGGTCTTGAGCTCAGATGTGACTGTCTAAAGTAACTTTTTTTAAACGAGAGATAATTTTTTAATATTTATTT